AACAAAATTAAGACCAAGGGAAGAAAGTGACCAGAGGCAGATTTAATTTTGATAAAAGAAAAATATTTCTGACAATTATAACTGTCCAATAGTAGGATTCATTTCATCTTTAATGCAGTGATTTCTCTGTTACTAAGACATTTCTAGCAGAAATTGGATGACCACCTGCCAGAAGAAAGATTCTGTGTGGGGAAGTATTCCCAATGCCCCTTCACTAATTTATTGTTCAGGCTCAAATTTCAAGTTATACAATGTTACAGAAAAAAGAAATTCCTTTGTTATAAATATTGAGGATCCAAATTCATTCCTTGCTTGCCTTCAGTCTTACTATTTGTACAGAGACAGGGTAAAATGGCACATTTTACTTAGTCTACCTGTAGATTTATATCATTTTATATTTATGTGTCATCATTTCATAAATTATTTTTTCTTATATTTTGCAACCAAATGGCTCAAAATTAGTTGCTGGTAAATGAGAATCTGCAGTGTGTGGTGAATAAGATGTGCCTCCTTTTCTGGGTTTGAAAAGCAGATCTATACAAAATTCAAAACCAAATGGTAACCTTTTCTTCTTCCCTCAAACTTTAGACTATTGAATCTTGAATGGGATGGGTTGTGGTTCATATATTATTCATCTACTATATATTTATCAAGCATCCACCATGTGGCAGACCTTGTTTTAGATGTTGGGGATACAACAGTGAACAAAACCATGTAAAAGCTCTTCTCTGATGAGCTTCTATTCTAATTGGGGAGGTGGAGACCAACAACAGACATACAAACAGACCAGTACAATGTACACGTGTTGGTGATAAATGTGCGAGGGTACTATAAATCAGAGAAGGAGAATGATGGGGCGTACTCTTTTGGAAGTGCAGTCTGAAAGGGTGCAATTCAAGCCTCTAATGCATAAGGCAAGGAAACAAGTTATGGAGGTATCTATGGTAAGAGTTTTTCAAGGTCCTGAAGGCATAACATCTTGAGGTATCAAAGAGACAGAAGACAACAAGCAAAGAGGAGAGTGGAAGGAGACGAGATCAGAGAGGAGGGCAGGTCCTTTAGGCACCACAAGCTCTGTTAAGGACTTTACACTTTATTGAGTGACATAGGAAGTCTTTGTGGATATCAGCAGTGGAGATGCAATATCCAGCTTCAATAGACTGGGATTTAGCTTCACTCTGCATTGTTCGGAACAGCCTTCATGAGGGCAAACGCTGACTCAGAAAAATATCTTAGGATGAGAGCGCATAATCCAGGCCAGAGAGATGGTGGTTGGGACCAGGATGCTAATAGTGGAGATCTGAGGAACGTGCAGATGCTAGATAAATTTTAAGGTACATTCGACAGGATTTGCTGATTAAATGGATGTCAGGATTGAAATTATTCCCGGTATTTTTACCAAAGCTGTTGAAGGAATATAGTTAAAGTTTACTGAGGTGGAGGACACTGGAATAGGAGAACATTGGAGAGGTACCTATGAGGGTTCCATTTTGGATATGTTAACAAATATGAGTAAAGCAGCATGATGAAGACCAGGGCTGTCTAACCAGAATATCTGGGTTAAAATTCAAGTTCTGCCATTCGCCAGATGATGCTTTGAGAAAATTCCTTACTTTCTCTCTCTGCTTCAGTTTCCTCATATGTAGAAAGGTGAAAATCACAGTACCTACCCAATAGCATTGTTGCGGGACTATGTGCCTAAAAACACGGAAAGTAGGGTCTGGCCCAGTGGTGCAGCAGTTAAGTTCTCATGTTCCGCTTTGGCGGGCCATGGTTCGCTGGTTCAGATCCCAGGTGCAGACATATGCACTGCTTATCAAGCCATGCTGCGGCAGGCATCCCACATATAAAGTAGAAGAAGATGGGCATGGATGTTAGCTCACGGCCAGTCAGCAAAAAGTCAGGCCTCCTCAGCAAAAAGAGGAGGATCAGTGGTAGATGCTAGCTCAGGGCTAATCTTCCTCAAAAAAAAAAAAAAAAAATCCGCAGAAAGTGCTTGGCAGAGTGCCTTGTACATAAGGAACATTCTATAAGAGTTGTTACTGCATACAAGTGGAGATATTGAGTACACAGCTGGATATACAAATCTGAATTCAGGAACTGTTACAGCCAGAAATAATATTTAGAGAGCGCTATGTTCTGAATGTTTGTGTCCCTAAAATTCATATGTTGAAATCCTAACACTCATAGGTGATGGTATTGAGAGGTGAGGCCTTTGGGAGTTGCTTAGGTCGTGAGGGTAGAGTCCTCATGAATGGGATTAATTCTCTTATAAAAGAGACCACACAGAGCTCCCTTCCTCCTTGTCCCATATGAGGTCACAGCTAAAAGCTGCCAGCTATGAACCATGAAGAGGGCCCTCACCAAACCCTTGTGGCAACCTGATATCAGATTTCCAGGCTCCAAAACTACAGGAAATAAATTTCTATTGTTTAAAACCTACCTAGTCTTCAACATTCTGTTACAGCAGCCCAAATGGACTAAGACAGAGGAAATTATCAACCACCTACATATTATATTGAAGGTCATGGAATAGCATGAAAATACCTATGGAGTAAGTGTAGAAGGAGGGAAAACAAAGCTTAAGGAAAGTCAAGAATATTAAGAGGACCCAAAAAGGAGACTGATAAGAAGCTTCCAGTGGATTGGAAGAGGAAGAGAGAGAGAGAGTAAAATTTTGGAATATGGGTGAGAAATGTGTTTCAAGAGGCAGGAAGTGATCAATTGTGTCAAATAATGCTAAGAATTTGAGTAACCTGAAGGTTGAAATGACCATTCGGTTTCAGGAAATTCTACGTCACTGGTAGTTTTGTCAGAATGGTTTCTAGAGGTGACGAGGATAAAAAGGATTAGAGTAGGTTTTAGGGAAAATCGGAGAGCAAGTGGGGCCAGTGAGTTCAGAGACTCTTGAGATGTTTTGCTCTAAGTAGGAGAAGAAAAACAGGGCAATGTCTGGCCAGTATGTAAATCTGAGAGAAGGTTTCAGTTTTTATTTTAAAGATGGTAGATTATCTCAATATCTATCTATCATCTTAGCCACCTATATGTATAGGTTTACATAGGTTTACGTATGTTATGCTATGGGAACTCATCACAGGAGAGTGGGAAATTTATGTTGCAGGAGACAGAGGTACCAACTCAGAAGCCAGGGCCTTGGAGAGGAGAAAGGAAATGGAATCTGTTAGATTGTTCAACATATGTGACAGAAGAAAACACAGAGCCTAAATGCCCAGTTTGCATATAGGTTAATTTCTAACGTTGGGAGGCTATGGATGTTCTGTTCTGATTATTTCTCTTTCTTAGTAGAAGAATCACGGTCATCACCTGAGAATGAGAAGGGGTGACAATGTTTGGGCAGTTTAAGGAAAAAAGAGAAGGTACGAAATAGTCACCTGCAAAAGCAGAAGACAGAATTTTCTAAGAAAACATACTACTATACAAAACAGCTGTGGTGCTCATTTTCAGTTTGTCTTTGCGAATAAAGCAAACCAGTCAACTAAGTTATGTTTCTTCCCAATGTCTATCACAGTATAAGCAGAGAGCTGGATTTTAAAACACAGATGAGGAACCTCCAGGGAGAGTAGAAATGGAGAGGGAAAGATAAAAGGGATGGATTGTCTAAGAAAACGTGGGAAGCTGGAATCATATGTCACATTCAATGGTTTATTATTCACTTGTTGAAAAGGCTTTACAGTATTTCAAATCACTATCTATTATTGTTAATTCTGCTTACAGCCAAGTGCTAGAAATGACGAAAGAATATATATTGGCATTTTGTTACTAAGATAAATTACATTTTTTGTTATGAGATATAATTGAAAATAGGTTGCATAACTTGTTCTCAGAAATATACATCAAGTAAAATCAAGAAATACGTTGTCTAGGTATTTGAAAACTGATGTATGAGTAGGTTTTATATATGTTAAAACTACAGCTGGTGTTTGAGGATATAAGCGTTAGTGTAGAACCCAAGTGCATTTTTTCTAACAGACACATGATCTTTGGAAGTTGTTTAACTTTGAATTGCTCATATTGTTAATGAAGAGGTTGGGACTAGATGATCATGAAGTGCACACAGGTCAAATTTCCGACAACATCTAGTTTCAGAAAGGCCCACCTTTGGGATGGTGAGATGGAAATCTCTTAGGCCCTAACTCAGTAAAAAAATGTCCAGTAAACCTATTAATTTTTTTTCTAGAAATGTTGAAACTCTGGGGAGAGAGAAGAAAATTGTGAATGACCCGTTTGACAGTCAGTGCAAATGTTCTCATGTTTTAAGGCAGGCTACAGAAGAAACTCTGACCCTTAAAAGAATTCTTTATTGCCCACTCCCCTGGAGTTAGGCCTAGGTGAAATAATGGTGGAATGTAGACACAATGTCGTTCCTTCTCCCTAATATTTCTCTGCAGCCTAATCTCGAACTATAATTAGTTGAAGAGGGTCTGCGTTTAAGTTAATATGGTAAGCAATCAGTAGGAGCAAGGCAGTTCTTGAAATCTTGTTCCTAAGCGCATTTTTCTTTTTTATTATTTTTAACTTATGATAATATAAATCACCCTGTTTTATATAACAATTATTTATGAATGCAATTTATATAGATTATATATGGCATAATGATACACATACACACATGGTGCACTTTATCTCATTCACTATTTATCCCAATTTTGGGAAATGAGTCACATGGCTCAGATGCTACTGGAACTTGACCCAATGGTCATTCTCTGTAATTATTCAACCACTGGAATATTGTTATTTAGAAATAAAAAAAAATTTAAAATTTAGGAATGCACCATTTCAATTCAAACTATTTTAGTGATTTCAAATTTCACGGCCATAAATGTTTGATAGATTTCAGTCTTCTCAAAGACAGAAACAATTTCGTATTCTACCTTTCAACTGCCATAAACAATCTAGAAAGGTAATAGCCTGTCAATAAAAAATCATAAATATTTCTAAATACATTATCATTACCTGTTTCTCTTTCAACAAAAATTTGTTTCTGAAATTTATATCTTTTGATAGCATTTTTTAATTTTATTTATAAAATACAGTGCATGACTTGACAAGTAAACTACATTATACATGCTGCAAGCAACTTTGGAAACTTTACTAAGAAGCAATGCAAGCTGTCAGACATTTCAGTAATTGAATTTCTCTGAGAACTGCCTTGGTTTGTCAGCTCTAACTTTACTGTCAAAAGAAAATAAAGTCACTAGGGAATTCATCTGAGATAACACCAGGGGTATTTTGATAATACCAAGGCAAGAACACTGTTTTCTCAGAAGCTCTTTGCACTAGGTTACCCCTACCTAGTGTGGGTAGGTTCATCTGAGCCTGGAGTCTCTATTATTTGATGCTGAGGTCTGAGATTAACTAATGATCTGTCAAATGGCAGTACATAAGCCTTTCTTCCGGTATTAGGATGCGCACGATCATTGCTTAAAATGCCCAATATACCCTTTGTCAATTACTTCGTAAGTGCAATTTATCTTTTACTGCTTCCGTACTTGGATTGCTTGTAAAATGTTTAGTGGTTAATTAACCTGGAAGGAAGTCCAACTTATGAAAAAACAGTAGAAGGGGGAAAAAATGCCATAAAATTAATGGCTTATTCTCTGGTTCTTATTTGATGGAGCAATGTTAATCAGATCCCTTTAGAAATTTACCTTTGACTACCATTCAGCCTTCTCTATAATAAGCTTCGCTTCAGAAATTTTCCACCGTGGGTTTTCCCCTTTGGCCTGTGCTTTTCTCCAAAGGACTTGAATGTATTAAGAAGAGATTGACAGCTCTCCTAACAACTGCAGATTGTGCTAACATGAAAAGGAAATATAGGTCTTGAGATCTTTCTGTTTTGAGTTCTGAAATATCAAACATGAACACTTATCCATGAAATGAAACCAACACTCGTTATTATGTATGAGTAGATTGACCTTGAGTTTTCCTTAATCAGTTAGAGGAAAATCTATAGAAACTCATAAAACTACATATATAGCAATATTAGTAAACTATTCTTATAGTCGTGGAGATATCAAATTGAAGAACTTCAATACAAAATACCATACCAGCATATAAACTACTCATTGCTATTCAGTTTTACTTTCATGTCTAAGAGTACTAGAAAGTTCTTAAATTAACAAAAATGGTTTCATATATTTTTCGCTGTATTCTAAAAGAGGGAAATATGGTTTTTGCTATGCACACATTAGTGAAGTCGATTTATACAATGTTTTTTAGCATAAATATAAAGAAATTCTTAAATTATGGTCTGTAGCAGACATTTAGACAGTCATTAACCGCTTCTTCTGATATGAGAACGGTTATATGAAGACCATATAACTAAATTCACTTTACGGAAATGTTTTCAAATTGTGATTTTTTCCTACCCTAGTTCAGTTGGCTGTTCATATTGAGTAACTTGGAGTTGAGACAGGGCCCTTTCCTGCTGTGGCAGGCATGGTACTGCTCTCCTCCTCCTAATTTTAGCTCCCTCAGTCCACTAAGGATCTGCTTTATTTTTTTTATAACCCCAAAATATGAGGATGTGCTCTAGGGGGTTCAGATAAATCCAGTACATCTTTCTTCTTAGGTTTGTGAGAAGGCATAATTTTCAGATTGCCTTGAAAGGAACATTAACGCAGAAACTTTGTTTTATTAAGCAGGTAGAGTTCTATATTAAGTTAATTTAATCTTGTAAAAAAGCTATGCATCTGTTATAAATCCAAGAGGTTTGTAAATTTGTTTGATTGTTCCTTCTGCTGTGGGTGAATCTTCATGTCTTCAGTTGGGCAGCTACTATTTAGCACTTAGACCACTTCTTTCATGTCACGTAGCCATCGGATATCTCAAATCTCATAGAGTCAAACATATTGGAGAATGCATTAGTACCATTTAGCACATTTGTGTGAAATAAGTTTCATCTTTTTATCAAACTCCAAGTAGTACATTGCTATCAGTATTCATCAAGTGTTGAATCTGATGGCTTTATATGACAACAGGATAAAATTCTAGCAAGATTTATATCCTTAATTTAAAGAGAAGACATTTCTGATTAAAGTACTATTTCATATCAGAAGAAATAATAGATGACTATTAAGGCATATGTATGCTTTATAGGTCCACCGTAAAATTTTAAAAGTAAGTAATAAAATGTAGCACATTATTAATTTGGGTTTCAAAATGGAATTTAAATTGCCCTTTGTCTGTTTCATATAGTGATGCAAGCTGAAAAAATCAAGATAATTATTTGGATAAATGTCAACATTCTACGTGTGTGTATAACAGCAATGATAGAATAATGCTCTTATTTTCTGATTATAAGGACCGTAAATCCTTTGTGTTAATTTTTTAAAATAAATTAGAAGATAAAATCCACCCATAACTTCATTCAGAGAGAGATTTCGATATGTGCGTGTATAATTTTAAATTCTACATAATGCAAATAAATCTTACTTTCCACATAGTTTTGGATCTTCCACCTTTTTTTTAGTTCAAATTTAAGAGAAAAGTAAGTTTTAAAACTTATTGTTTGACTCTTTGGTGTTGGTCCAAGGAGAATTCTTTGGAGGATTAAAATAGCAGAGCAGTGCTGTTTGGATATATTTCTTTGGCCATTTAGGATCCTCCCCAGCAGAGAGCTCAGCGGAGTCTCCTTCAGTTTGTTGAGACGCGCTCCCCTGCATTAGGACTTTACCGCTAAACTAAAAGGCCTGAGCCTTCAGGTTGTTGGGACTTTGACCTCTACCTGGTATCTATTCAGGTTCATCACAAAGAGACCTTATGTGCTGATGGCCCAGGCTGAGGATGCAGCTGCTGGAACACCTGAGTTGTTTATGGAACCCATAACTCAGAGAGCACTGCTTGCTCCTCTGTGCAGAGGTTAGCCCTAGATTTATGCTGTTTGCCGTTGAAATTTTATCGCTTTATCCATTCTTAGTTTGCATATTCAGCTAATGTACTTTATTACTTGATCTCACTTATAAATATTGAAAAAAGAGGTACTTAACCCTCAAAATGACTGGAGAAAGCAGAATCACTTGGCTCCTTCCGTAGCACATACCTATTTCTTCTTTCTTCATCTTGGGTGAATTCTTTGATGGTAAAATCAGCCTCCAAAAATATCAGGAATCTATTAAGCTGTACGGTGCAGCGTGACCAAAAATCTTCCCCTGAAAATCAGCAAGCGGGAGGAGGCGACAGGAAGGGGAAATTCTAGGCAATTATATACATGATTGTACATACTTTTTACAGTAGTCTTACAGGTGTGTAATATCATTATTCTCATTAACAGATGGTAAAAATGAGGCTTAGAAGTTGCCCATAGTTACAGTTCTAGCAAATAATAATGCCAGGATTAAAATCCAACCCTTACCTGCCATCAGTAGTACAGCTTTCAACTCCCAGCACACATTATCTCCTTACCCATGAACAGTCCAGTCTCATTATGAAGCATGCAGCAGCTAATGTTGTAGTGAGCAGTCCATATCAATGCAAAATAAATAGGGACGAAGTCCCATCCAGTGAGGAAAACTTCACTGTAAACAACAGCGTCTAACTTTTGTAAATAGCCAAGCAGTTCCGAATCAGCCAATTCCTTCTTGGAAGGTAAACAACAGAGGGTCCAAAATCAGTGTCCTGGATTCCTGGATGCCAGAATGCAGCAACTGACCTGTCTGCAAACTGAGTGAGCTGGTGAATTAGTAGAAAGAGAGAGGCTTTAGAATCAATGTGGAATGGGTTTTAACCTTGCACAGGCTCTTATTGGCCTGTGGAGAATTAATTTCTCCGAAGGGATTTAGACATTTATAAGATAAAATAAAATTTATCTTTCATACTTATAAAGAAAAAACGTAATAAAGCACAGAATAGATATTTAATAATCGATAGTTATTATTACTGATAAATTATTATTATTTACTTTCAAATTAAGTGAATCTTTGGAAGATCTTTATTCCATTTTACATGGAATTTAAGTGGAAATTGACCAGAGCTTGAATTATTTCTAAGAGATTATTTAGGAAAATATATATATATTTAGGAATAATGCAATAACATTGCAATAATGCAATATTGCATTAATGCAATGACGTATACATATATATATATATAAAAGTAAAAGAGCATAAAATTGCACATAAAAAATTAGGGCTTTGAGTGAAGTCTGATGCATCATCAGCTCTATTTAAAATCTACCTTAGCCTCCAGAGTCTGCCATATTGAAAATTCTTCCCCATATGTAGACTCTAAGTCCGCATTAACTGAGAAGCGTCACTTACAAAAGATTTTCTTCCCAAATCTTCTATTTTCTCACTAAAATCCAACCCCACTTTCCCCGTCATGGTGTTATACTATGTATGCCCTTCATTCAACCTTGAATTTCTCCTTCCTCAAGTGATCATCTGTCAAAAGGTCCTAATCTTTCTTACCAAAGCAATCATCACACTAGCTACACTTCATTATCTGGACTGGGGCATCCAATATTTTACTGGTACTCTAACCACACAGCAATTAACTCTGCGTGAGATTTTCAGGGAAGATGTTTTGCACACAGAAAATATTTGAGCATTGTCTTTAACAACATTTGGGAATTTTCTGGAAAACCAAAGAATATGCATACACATGGAGGGAAAATGTGGAAAAGCTAAGGCAACAAGTGATTCAATAGTTTCCATATTGTTGGTATTTAACTAATGGGCAGGTAGAATTAGGGTTTGAGACTGGAGACAGAATTAGATGTTGTTACGTGTCTTGTATGCTAGGCTAAAGACCTTAGACATAGGCTGGGGGAAATACGTCCAAGGGTTTTCCTCAGTAAGTAGTGATAAATGATTATGTCTTAAAAAGATCTCTAACGCCAAGAGGAGCATACATTGAAAAGAAGTGAGGTGAAAAGACAAGACGGCCAGTTTTGGGTAACTACAATTGAAGTTTCAATGTGGACTGTATAAGTGGGATAAAAGGGAAGAACTATCATAAACATATTTTTAAGAGAGAAACTTGGAGTAGCTTGGATGTTGATTAGAAGTGGACAATGAGGGAGAGGGAAATTTAGGAAACTAAATTATATTTGTCTTGCTTCTGTCTTGAGGATCTAACTGGATGAGGGTTCCAGCAAATGATATATGGAATTTGAAAAAAATTTTGCAGTTTTGGAGGTAGAAGTTTTCAGGGAGACACTCTGAGGTTCGTGTATGATGGAGATATTTGTCCGCAGTATGTGTTCTCAACTGGACACATTTCAAAATGATCTAAAATTGAGTTAGAAAATTCTGGCCCACCTCTCTGTATTACTCTGTGGAGAACATAAATTATACTTCTCAATCTCTACTGTAAAATGCTTGTGCTACTATTTCAGGAATCCAGAATTCCTATGCTCTTGGCTCGTATCAAAGAAGTTAAACTTGAAGTTATTTTTCTTCATCCAAAGGATGAAACTGATATTCAGGAAAGATAACCCAAGCTCAGGGCTCTCCTGTCTGTCACTTCTCAAATTAGTGTAAACTCTACCATTTTATCGAGTTGGATTATCAAAATGCCTACCTGACTGGCTCAAACTTCTGCAGAAATTTCTGCAGAAATGCCTTCATTGCATTATTTTTGATGTTATGCCCTTGGCTTTTATTAAGGGGAGATTCAATAAGTGGACATATGAAGAATGCTTCCAGCTTTGCAGATAAGCTGCCGTTGAAGACGTTGTCTGTCACCCTGTTCTTTGTCATTCATATAAGAACCCAGGGAACACATTACCTTTAGAATTTAGTATTGGAAAACTGATTTTCTTAAAAAGCAGTTTTGATACTTAGGTCAGACAATAGAAAGTATGTAACTCAATTTAGTTTTGCCCAAATTCTCAGAGTTAGAATTTGTGAACAAAAGTAATAACTACATTTAGTTTAAATTTAGGAAAAGCCCCAAACCTATACACATCTATTTTATATAGTTCTTATTATTCCAGCTTTAAGATCATTCTAAAGTATATATTCTCTTCTATATATATATAAAGTAAATATTTCCAATTTTTCTGAAAGTGTGTGGGTTCTAAATAATAAATAAATTATTAAAAATTCCCTAACCATCTATTTGCTTAGAAGTGATCACACTTATATTTTTATTTCAATATTTTCTACCTCAGCCTTCAAGAAAGAAATATCATAATTTGTAGGAAGTGTATTGAAATTCTTCCCCTTCAAAATTTTGATGTTGAGGGAGTTTTAATTTTTCCTTGATTACAACAGATATCTTCCCATTAGGAGTCTACTCTGCTTTCATCAGTTTCTCTATAATAAAGGGAGATACAATATCTTTTTTAAAGAGCTCTGTATGATGATATCATAGATTTTCATACTACCTAAATATATCTATATATAAGACTACCATGTATATATTTTGTTTCCATTACACTTATTCTTAGACTACACATATGTTTGTGCTTTCATCTTTCCCATACAGTTCTAATTCTTTCACTTTGCCTATGAAACTCAAAGTAATTGAGTGTTTGTAGTTCAGATTTGTGGTAGCATTTTAATCTGTCTGACTCTTCCAGAGTCTTTGGAAGTCTTCCTTTTGGGCCCTAAGTTATAGAAAAGTGCTAAGCAAGAATATTTGGGAGATGGGGTTTGTTCTACAAATGATGCCACTAATAATCAAAGAGGAGGCAATTACATAGAAGACAATGCAAAAATGTAAGTTTTAACAAGAAATTAAAGAGGTCTTAGAATGATACATTAGTCTGCCAGGGCTGCCCTAACTAAAAACGACCACAGAGTGGGTGCCTTAAACAACGGAAATTTATTTCCTCACATTTGTGGAAGCTGGAAGTCCAAGATTAAGGTACTATCAGGATTGGTTTCTAGGGAATTCTCTCCTCCTGGCTTGTAGATGGCCGCATTCTTGCTGTATCCTCATGTGGTCTCTTCTCTGTGCATGCAAGGAGAATGTGAGAGACAGAGAGGTCTCAATCTCTGGTGTCTCTTCCTCTTATAAGGACACCCGTCCTACTGGATTAGGGCCCCACCTTTCTCACCTCATTTATGTTTTATTACCTCCCTAAAGGTCCTTGACTCCAAATACAGTTACACTTAGGGTAAAAGCTTCAAGATATGAACTTTGGAGGTACATAATACAGTCCATAACAAATGGTAAAATGAGAGAAAACAGAATAAGTACAACCCAACCTTGGAGTCTTGAATTTCACGCCCACTCTATGTTGTCTAACTCTGAGACGGAAGGTTGCAGACAGCAGAGGATAATGCCTAATAAGGGAGCTCAGTCAGCATTGTTTTCTTTTCCCATGTTTTGAACACCTGATTTCTACCTGCCTTTCCATTTTGATTCCAAATATTCTTTGGGGATTGATCATGGATGCAAACATTTCCATCATATTTATACTAAAATTTGTGTATAACATTTTCACTGAAAATATGTATGCCCCCAATAAAATTAAGCCAATTTCACTTTCGTTCTACTTTTTTAATAGCAGATTTACATGTTTTCAGTTTATTCCATGGTGATTTGATCGATTAATTTTCATCAGGATGAATTACTTTTGTGTAAATTTCAAATATTTGATTTCTTAATTGTTACTTTAGAGCATATCAACTTTTACAAAATATTACTCTTGCCAGAAACTCTTGTAAGTTTCCCTGGGTGCCTTATTTCAACCAAGTAGTTTCTGTGGGTTATGTATAGGTTAAATCCTCCCATTAATTTTCAGTCAATAAAAATTTTAATGTGTGTCTTTCAACCACTACTATTTTGCTATTGATTTTATTTGTACCAAATCTAGTTTATTCCTAATTTTAAATTTGCATATTTCAGTGTTACCAAAAAGATATATTTCAGTTAGTTGTTCTATTTGTAGAATTTATTATTTACCCTGAGTTTTCCAGCAGAGCAAAAAAAGGGTGAAAGCTGATTTTTAACCTTAACAAAACTAAGGTTGTTGTTTCAAATTCCAAAATACCAAAGTGAATGATAACACATAAAATTTCCCATAATTTAACAAATAGAAGTGTGTGGCTATTTTACTGTTTATAAGCAAGCTAATTTGACAAGCTTTTAGAAAGTAATTTTCTGTGTCTATTTAAAATAAAAGTGAACAAACATTATGATCTAGCAATTTGATTTCTATGAATCTTTCTAAAATTATAAGTAGGTAAAAATGTACATGCAATATTATCTTTAATAGCACAAATGCAGAAGCAACTTAAATGTCTATCATGCTTAAGAGAGAAAATAAATTTGTGCAGTTCGTACACTGAAATTATATCCATCCATTAAGAGAATAAGAGAGATACAGATGAGTAACTCCTGAATAGGATAAAATTTCAGTTATGCAGGATGAGTAAGTTCTAGAGATCTGCTGTACAACGCTGTGTCTCTAGTCAACAGTGACATATTGCACACAGACTTCTGTCAAGAGGGTAGATCTTGTGTTAAGTGCTCTAACCACAATAATTTTTTTTGAAGAGATGTAGATGGAACATCTTAGAAAGTTAATCTCGATATGTTAAACTTGTTTTGGTGGAAGTATGATGGTTACTCTTATTTTTCCAATGAAAACTAGAAATAAATACAAAGATGAATATCTATTTTCAAAGTTTTGGATTCAGAGTCATGGGGAGTCATTAAGATGTTCAAGTATTTCAGTAAAAATGGTGGCACTGAACTTCCCTGTAATCATTAAGTGTGACTTTGCCACTTGTTTTGGTAAATGACATGTGAATGAAAGTGACTTGCATTACTCCTGTATAGAACCTTAACATTCAGTGCATCGTTCACTGTAATGCCCTTCTTCTGCCTCTGCGATTGTACAAACACAAATATGGAACCGACCTCTGCAGGAGAAGAGTTGACTTGCAATAGACATAAAGCATGACAGAAAGATAAACCTGTGATCTTAAGTCCCTGAGATTTGGGGATTAATTTTTACTTACAGTATAAACCAGCTTATTCCCACTGATATTGATCTTAACAATATTAAATATACTCTTACCCAACTGGGCTTATAACAGATTTGTAGCTACTTTGCAAGGTTTCTGTCTCCTCTTGTTTCCTTAACTCTAAGTGGTGAATATCTTTACCAGCACACAATAACACTTTCTTGTCAATTGGCTTTACTAGACCAATGAAATTAACATTTTATTATTACTTTTCTGGTTGGTTTATTCTAGATTTGATATAAGCTCTTCTCTCAGTCCTTATTCATTTAATTGGCAGGAGTATGATGACAAATATCCTTTGTATCTCTGATACTTTAACCCATCAATGTCAGTCATCAGTGTGACCCTTCTCTGGGACATTCTGTGACTTTTTGATATTCCAAAGTACTATAATAATCGACCTAAATGTATGAATGCATCAGACAACATTATTGTCATTCTTTCTAGATGTAGGAGTGACAAGTTGCCCATCTAGTTCCCAGTTTAGCATAAGTCATAGTTTTATCAATAGGTAAAGTAATAGAAATATGGGCGGTAAAGCAAAATGCATATCAACAACAGTCTCTCCCAAATGATTCTATATGGAAGATCTTTGTTGTTGTTTCTAAGACAGGACATGTAACCACTTACCTAGTACCATCCTGAGAGGTCCCTCGAGCCTCAGGGCAAAAGTCGGTAGAATCCTTAGTCTTTCAGTAAATCTTTGTCTTTCCAGATCCAAAACTTTTTTGTGATGACAGATAAGTGACCAGGTCATGGTTCCCAGTCAGGAGGGTCCCCCTCAAGCTGGACGCTAGGAAATTCAGAGGGGCCATAAGACATATTAATTGCTTTCATTTCAGCCTTACATATATTTTCCTACAAAACACCCTACCAAACAACTTTGTAATCCTTTCATTTACACATTGATTCATTCTGTAAGCATTTTTGATCATTACTGCAAACCAAGAACTAAGCTAGGTGAGGCGACTTCAATCAGAATGGAATAGAACTGATCTTCAGGAGCCTATCCTCTACTGAAAAAGACAAAAATGCAAACCAATAAATACAATTAAGGGTTATGCGTAATGTGATAGAAGTGTGAATGGAGCCCAGGAATGGCAAGGAGCAACTGAGAACACAAATTCTGGTTTGCTTCCCTATGGTAAGTCGTGTTTGTAGACTATGGAAAACCCAGTGGCAGAATATTCTGGGAGCCAGCAAGAGACAGAAATGTGATTGATCTCTTCCACTCGTTCTAATTCAAATATGGCATTAAACACTAACTGCCTAAAATCAGAAATTGGCAGAGATAGGAAGAGATGACAAATTCAAACGAAGATTCAGTCTGGTAGCTATGACAGGCTGTGGGAAGAGACACACTCAACCCATTGCAAGACTTAAAGAGATACAGTTGTGACAGCTGACAACCAGGAATCAGTGGTACTGTCGTCACAGGAGCAGTTTTGGAGTGTTATTAATGTATTTAAAATTAGGCTGATTCTAATTCTTGAAAAAGCCAGTAGGCTGTAGCCTTGGGAAAGAGATCTTTAAGCGTCATAGGCTTCAAGCCAGGTAAAACAAAACAGTGAAGATGGGAAAACAGTTCAACAACAATCACTACCTTATCCAGCCTTTCTTCTCCCTGCCTACTATAGAATAATTTAGTTATTTTGCTCATCCCCACTTCAAAGAAGATGCTGCCTTCCCAACCCAGTTTTTGGAGGGATTTCATAACAAAGAACAGGAGGAAAGGATGAAGAGTACAATGGCTAGGACTAGGGAAAAAATGTTTAAAGTATTGCTGTGGTCCGTTTATCTCCTTTGTGCTCTTCAAGGAAACAAGTAAAGAACTCGAGTTGTTTGACGCTGCTTTCCGTTTGTCGAGATACACATCTCTGATACCACATTGCTCTAACGCTAGGATTTATAAGTGTCATCCTCACCGTAGTAGCAACTAATATTTATTTAATGTCTAGTATGTTCTAGTTCTTCATATCGTTTTATTATAAAGCCACCATCATAATAATAACTAACACTTATATAACACCTAAGTGCCAGCCATGATTCTAAGCACTTTGCATCTGTTGATCTATTTAATTCTCACAACAGCTCTCTGAGTGTGATGCCATTATTTTACCCGTAAAGAAACTGTGGCATTAAAAGATTAATTATCTAGGGTCATATAACTGGTAAGTGGATTCACACTCAGTCTGAACATAGAGGAATGTTCTCGCCCAGTGTGTAACAATGCCTATCAAAAAGAAAAAGTCATCCAAGACAAGCATTATTAATGGTCTAGTGTTCAAGGAAGAAAATGGAATAAGCACACCCTGAAAGACTGACTGAACTCACCAGGAATAAGGAATGCTGAGATGTCATCCTGGTGATGTATTGAAATGTGGCAGGGGGACATAAGAACCCAAACCCACGTGAATGGTAAAATTTGCTTTTGATTTTAAAATTGTCCTTCCAAGACACAGACTCTTCTGCTTAATCTTCCATTAAGCTGCAGGCAACTGTTTGATCAGTTACTTTTACTGATTAGAGTCTTATCTGAGAGAGCTTCAGTAAATCCTCAAATACCTGGCAACTCCTTGGAGCAGGAAGCCATGTAAGTGTCAACTCTGTTAGCTCAGGCCTTACCAGTCAAGCTTGGACTGTCCACAGCAGATGTGTCTCATGAGTTCTTGAAACAGATTGCCAGCCATGTTCTTTTCCTTCAGACTTGCCACCTTCACTGATGCTCCCTTCACATCCGCTCCAGGGTGACTCATCACTCTTACTGATATGGTGGCTAACGTGAGAATATTAATTATTTCACAAGGATGGTATCTCCATGTTTTCCAAAAATATCAATTGATAAATCCATCCTCTAATTTGTCCACAAGTAGAAAAAGTACCATCAATTTACATTTTGTCACACTTACACTTTAGAGACTCAGAGTCTCCTCCTGTCCCTTTGTGGTCCCCTCCCAGAGAACTTCATTATAAGGGTTTCTTGAGCTTCTCTCTGCAGCCTCTCTCCATTGGTCACAAACTCTAGAACATACGGTTGGGTATGGGAAAGATCACATGTTGTTTTTCAGTCCCTTCCATCTCTGCCCCTCACTCATGCTCCATAAGAGTCTTCACAAAGACATCCTCTCTTTTCTTCCGGCTCCAAACCAAAAAGTCTCTTACAAACCAACAGATACAAGTTGATTCTTTAAGTGCTCCATCTTGTCCAGTTAATTGGAAACACTGATAAGCTAAAATTCTCTCTAGAATAACCTGGGATGATATGCTTGCTTTGATTTTGAAAGACCAAATGCTAGACTTCCTTGTGGATTCTTGAAATTGCTCTTAAAAATATTTCTTCCAACATGGCAACAGAATTTATCATATTTTACCTTTTATTCTGAATTTACACTTCAGAAAAATTTGATTATGCTTTGAAGCCAATGTCTTCTAATTTTCACCATTCTGATGTAAGGAGAATTCTGGTTCTAATCCTGATTCTCAAGATATTTTGATGCAAAATTTCTCCTTTTGACTCCACTAAGCAACTCATAAAACTACACCATTCTTCTGTTATCAGAAAGGGCTCTTGTAATTGATCACATTTTCAAGCAACATTCCTCTCTGACCAATTACAATAGCATGTGCTAGATTGTGACACAAGAAAACAATGGTTGTAAACCAATTTAAAAGAAAGATTTCCATATAAGCATATTAGGCTGAGGTAGTTACCATTTCCTCTTTAAAGGTTTAACATTAGGCTTGACATAAATACCTGGAAAAGTATGTTCTATTCCTATTTGTCATTATCCATCATTCTCAAGCACTGTATACAAACACATAGCATGACTGGGGGTTACTGAAGTGGGTTCGTGATCGGGGACAGGGGTCTTCTATTGCTCATTTTTATATTTAAAATAAAAAGCTAAGGCTATAGCTGCTTTTTATTGTGAGAACTTTGTACAAGAAAACCCTATTCTTTGTTTCCTCTCCTGCCAACCTTTAGTCCTTAACAGCCAACCGTACTCTATCAAGTTTTATCGTGGTAAAATAAGCTTTGTTTCTTTCTTTTTTCCACCAAAATTTCAACACAATAAAATGAGTGTAGTGCTATTTAAGCAGTGAAGAAAGAAACATAATGCTGAGCTGCACCCTGAAGACATTTCTTTTGTATTATAATGCTTTTTATCCACAGATGTTAGTTCAAAATTGATATAATGGTGTTTCTTGTAAGTCTACCAGAAACAAAACAAAACAAAAAACATTTTAAAAGTAGAATAGATGTAATTGCATGTGATAAATGAGCCTGGTGGAATTGTACTAGAAACCCACAGGGAATAATTATCTATCGGTGGCACCTGCAGAGGAATTATAAGCAGCTGCAGAATTTGATTTTTGAACAAGAAAATGGAAAAAATAACTTAAAGATTGGTATTAAGAATTGAGAAGTTAGAGAAGAGAACAGAATGTAGAATGAGAAAAAGAGAATTTACCCAAGATTTCAATCCCAGGATAATAAGGTGAAGCACAGCTAGAGATGTATTTTTTTTAATTATCATGGAAAAATGTACATGGCCAATTAGGGGAAAGGTAGAAAAGACATTGAGTTTGAATTTCACACTCAAAATGTAACTCACATTTTGGAATGTAACACTGTCTAAATTTAGGAATGGGTTTGTGAGGCAGTGTGCTGTAATAAAAAGTAAGTCCACTCTCAAGACAAAGATGCTTCCAGTCCCTGCTGTCTCACCTACAAGCTGGATGGTCTCTGACAGTTATTTGATGTTTCCGATCATTTGTTTACATAATCATGTTGTAGAGATCAAATGAATTTGCATTTTTATGCTTTGTGCATACTAGGGACGTAGAAAACGTGAATTCTCATTTTACTCCTTTTGGTAATTTCACAAAGCTTAAAAAAGTCTTTCCTTGAATATAGATAGAAAGATTGCCACAAAGTCAATTCTCATTATTCATGGTAGTTGTGTTCTGTAAAGCTGCTGTTGTGAAAGATGACATGAGTGGAACCACATTAAAAAAGAGCCTGAGTAGCCATTTCAGAATAATTTCAGAATAATTGCCTTTCACGTCTTGTTCTCTTTATCTTCCGAATGGGACCAAACCACTAACATTCCAAAGAAGTCAGTAAGGACAAAATTATCCTGTTTGTAAGGACTGATGGAAGTGGAATTGTTGGTGACCAATCACTAACCAATCAATGAAGTACAAGTCTGACCTTGAGCCTGATGATCAAACCTTGGACCACTCTCTGAAGTACAAACCCAGCCGTGCCTCATCTCACACCAATGAACTCTTCTTTAATTCACCTCCTCTACCCTTTTTCCCATAAAAACCCTGAGCCCCTCTCCTGTCATTGGGATGCTATTTGGGTTTCTCCCTGAATCTCTGCTCTCAGAATTGCAATTCTTTGATCTCAAATAAACGCTTTGCCTCTTAAGCCGGTTTCTGCTTTTGCAGGTTGGCACTGTGAATACTGAGTTGGGGAATACTGAACCGTTGCTCCAAGTTGGGAACACAGAGTTAGGTTCCTGTCAGCCTCTCACCACATTTCATCAACCTATCAATATGTGACCTTGGTTTATATATGATTCTGTTTGACACCTTGTATTCATATATATAGTATACATAGTATTGATTTGTTAATTGTTGCCTGAACAGAGTCAAACACATTTCCTCCGCAAGGCACTTTACAGCCTTCTTAGTCTTAGGAACACGAGACAGCATTACAGCACTACATTCGGGGGTCATTTTGAACAACAAAATCATCAATCAAAAGCACAAAAATGCAAAAATGTGAACCTAAATGTACTGCAAAAACAACTCTTGTTTACCATGAGATCTGAAAGAACAAGGCAGAGCATTGCCTTGTTTGACCTTAGCTGGAAACGTGCTCATTGGGTAACTCAAATTTTTCACTGCTCAGCACATGTCCACAAATAACCACAAAAGTGCTGTGAGTATTGATTTTGGATAGACCATTTTTATTTCCTCAGATAAGAAAACCACAGAGGAAAACATTAGAAAACATTTAGTACCCTAGTTTACACATTCATTTTTACTATTGTTCAAGGCCTCAATATTGAAAATGGCCTCAGCCTCTTTAGAACTCTGAGAGAGGCTAAAGAAGGTAGACCGTCAAATACTATTATTTTAATTATTTTTATTGACCATTATTTATTTGAATAAAATTTAATTCACTATTATTTTAATTGAGAAGAGTGGTGGGAACTTTCAGAAATGTTTGTAAATTATTCTAAGATGAAAGTGATTTAAGTGAGTAACTTGAAAATTAAGAGTTACAGGTTCTTATACTGGCTATAAAAAGAAAATATTGTGGCAAAAATAATTGAAAATTAAATTACATCAACTGAAAAATACTGAATCACTACTGAGAAACTAGCATTAGGATAAATGCTGAAATAAAGACAAAAGAAGAAGAAATGATTTCTTCTCTGTGGGAATGGAGAACCCTTGATGTTGGATTGTAGGAGGATGAGTATAGGTTGGACTCCTTTTTTGGTCATTGTCAATAGTCACCCCATGAGACTATCATGGCATAGACGTTTCCTGTAAACCATGCTACACCACTCTTCTTGATACTATGTTGGCTGACT